GCTGCTGCGTGGGCGCTGCCGGGAGCGTGGAGCACAGCTGGGATCGCTGCGGCGCGAGGCCAGCACGGCGTTAAAAATAGAGCCGGGGCGGAGGGAGACCCTGGCTGTGCACAGCCCGGGGTGGGAGCTGGCTGAGCACGGCCTCGAGCCACGACAGGGCAGCGAGGGCAGGGCAGAGGTGCGGGCTGAACGTTCACCTGCTCCAGCGCTTCCACTCTGCTCTTCAGGTCTTTCATTTCTTCCTTCATTTCACTGGGGGGATCTGAAAAAGTGACCAAGGAAAGGTCAGTTAGTAAAAGCCCGTTGCCAGAGGTGAAGTGGAGGGTGCCGGGGGAAGACATCGCTGCAGAGCTCAGGCCAAGCTCCGCTGCTTTCCATTCCTCTCCTAGTGAGCCCCTGGGGTCTGCCCTGCTGGCACCAGCCCCAGGAGCATCGATTGGATCCACCGCCTGCTGCAAGCACTGGCATCTACTCCTGCTGCTAACGTGCACAAGCCTCTCCTTGCTGCTGGAGTACCTGCAACAAGGTGGAGGGGGGTTTCAGGCAGCGAGGTGATGCTGAAAGGACAAGATGTCCAGCAAACCTGGCCTTTCGTGCCCGTGCTGTCAAACTAGTTAGCAGCCAGGTCTGCCCCATCTCGTGGTGGGCACAAAGGGTTGTCCCTGCTGAGGGCCCCGGGCAGGGGTTGAAGGCCGGTGGCTTGCGGGGCACGTGCAGACGGTGCCCTGCTCTCCCAGGTGTTTGCTGCGTGATGCCCATGCTGGCCACAGCGCATTATTACTCACGGTACGAGTTTGAAGTGTCACAGCGCGTACCAAAAGTAATAATGGGCCGTCACCAGCGATGCCCGCCGCTCCTCGTGGCTCCGGACTTGCCCTGCGGGAAGGACGATGACAACAATGGAGAGAAGAGCTGCGTCTTGGCCACTGGACACTGTGGACGGGCTCTGTCACGCTTGCAGATGGAGCAGTGGCTGGATTTGTGCATGAGGAGGTTCTTTGGGTGGGAGAGGGACCCCCGGGACATTGGGAATAAAGGTGAGGGCTTCTGGCTGTCGTCCCCTTGCCTGTCCCTTCCCACTTCTGCTCCAGCCACCCTGTGATGCCGCATGTTAATCCCAGCTTCCAGCCGGGGCTGCCCCGCAGTCGGGGCACAGGTTACCTGCTTGGCCGAGG